GAAATTAATGGGCCAACTTAATATATAGGAAAAAAATTAGTTTGCCAGGGCGATGGTGGCGCATGGCCTGTAGTCCCAGCCTACTCGGGAGGCTGAGGCCGGAGGAGTGCACTTGAGCCAGGAGTTGAGGTTGGCTGGGGATCGTAGGGCTGACGCACGGCACTCTAGGCCCAGGCAAGAGAGCAGAGACTCTGTCTCAAAAAAAAAAATAAAAAATAAAAAATAAAAAAATAAAAAAGAACAATCCAGAAAGCAGAGACTTTGCAGATCTCAGAGCAGACGCCCCTTTCCACGACGCTGCTGTCCCATCCACACACAGTGACTGGGGGCTGTGCAGTGGGGAGTCCGCCTTTCTTGGGTTCAGTTTCCGGTAAAATTTTACTTGGTAAAAGTTCATTTTGACGACTCTCTGAAGTCTTTCCCCAAAATACAGACTCAGAGTCCTCTAGGAGGCTGAGGGCTGAGGCCGGCTCAAAGGGCTCCACTCACACACAGTGGCTAGGCCATCTCAGGACAGCCGGCACCCGTCTCTGGACAGCCGCGGGGTCTCAGACTTGACGGCCAACACTGCCCCCCAGTGGCCCCGGGGCAGGTCCGTGCCCCCTCTGACCTCACACCAGCAGGGCGGGCGGGAAGGCCTGGGGCGGAGTTGGGCTTCCGGGACCAGGCGCAGCTGCCCTGGGTGCTGCGTGGGGCGGCAGGGGGCCGGGCCTGCCTGGGCGCAGGGCACCCCGTGCTGCCGGCAGTCTCTCCCCCGAGGCTGGGCCTGGTGGGCCCCAGGCAGCTCACGCGGCACCAGGGAGAAGCTGGAACATGACACTGCACACGCCGGGTCCCCAAAGCTGTGTGAGGCTCTCCAGCTCTGCATACTCCTCGCCCCTTGGCTGGGGTGGGGACAAAGGGACCTGGCTGGTGACAGAGAAGCCCCTTGGCTGGGGTGGGGGCAAAGGGACCCGGCTGGTGACACAGAAACGCAAGGACAGTCCCCCAGAACTTATGGGCACCAGCCCCTCCACGACCTCCTCCTGGAACCATCTGAGAGCAAGCTGGGGACGCCGGGCGCTTTACGCCTCACCATTTGGGTTTGTGCTTCCTGTGACAGGGCGCACAGACACGACACAGGACCTGACCCGCGGCCACCTGTCCGGATGACCTTGCGCAGCCCGTCTCTCCCGTCCAGGACGCCGAGTGGCACTCACGGGCAGGGGACGTCTCCACTTGTGTTTTGTGACCCACTCTGAGCCCGATCTGGCTCATTTGCAGCACGTCTGTCCCTCCGTCTGGGTCTGTCTGAGGCTTCCTCACGTTTAGGTTCAGGTCTGTGTTTTTGGCATGATCTCCAGGTAAGAAAGAGGCTGTGCCATTCTCGGTGCAGCCTGGCCAGAGGCGCATGACGTCTGTCTGCCCCAGTGTTGGGGATGCGAGCTCTGACAGTTCGGTTAAGGGGGGGTCCCACAGGCTGCTCCACGGAAAAGTTACTGTTTCTCTCAGTAATTAAGAAGTGATTTCTGGGTGGGGTACAGTGGCTCACACCTGTCATCCCAGCACTTTGGGAGCTCAAGGTAGGAGGATCACTTGAGGCCAGGAGCTCAAGACCAGCCTGGGGAACATAGTGAGACCCTGTCTCTACAAAAAATTAAAAAAATCAGCCGGCTGTGGCAGCGCCTGTAGTCCCAGCTATTCGGGAAGGAGGCTGAGGCAGGAGGATTGCTTGAGCCCAGGAGTTTGAGGCTGCAGTGAGCTATGATGATGTCACTGCACTCCAGCCTGGGAAACACAGTGAGATTCTGTCAAAGAAAACTAGTGGTTTGTGGGGAGATGCTGAATAAACACCTTGTTGCCCACCCAACTTGCACCTCTAATTTCAGCACTCATCCGTGATCCTCCAGCCACCATTCCTTTTGGTTTGTCAGTTGACACTCCTCTTCCTCAACTCAACCCAATGGAGCTCGATCTTTTACATCATTGCTGCCGGCCCGGAGGTGGCCAGGGGAACCCCTTGGAGCTGGGCCCTGTGAGCAGAGCGGGAAACGCAGGTGCCAGCGTCTGGGCACTGAGCGCCACTGGCGGGCCGGTGCAGGCCTGCGCCCGCCCATTGCTTTATGTGCCCAGAACAACAGCTGTATTTGTCCCTGCACTGGTGACCCCGCTCTGGAGTGGAGTCTCCCTGGCCCCACCCTGTCTGCCCGGCCCCTTGTCTCCAGGACCTCAGACCTTGTCTGACGGAGAGTGGCCACTCATCTTCCACCCAGGGAGTGACCTCTCACCTCGCGGAGGTCACAGGTCACTGAGACCCACAGGGAGCCCAGAGCCTGGCTGCCGTTTCTGCTGAACGTGGACACTGTGGCCCGAGAGCTCTCTGCCTTGGGCCACTCCGGCTCCCAGTGTGCCTGCCGTGCGGGTGGCAGAGGTGCAGGGCTGCAACCTGCTTCCAGCGGGGCTGCCACAGGTGGGAGCCGGCCCTGCAGCTGCTGCAGTCCGGGGGTCCGGCGTTTAACCGCCAGCTAAGCCCCCTGGTGCCCACAGCCATGTGCCAGGTAGGGACCGAGGCTCCCCGGCCTCCTCAACCCTGGCCCTGTCTCCTCCCCAGCGGCCTCACATTTTTGCCCACACAAAGGCAAAGCTGGCCTGTTCCTCATTTTCCATGAGCCCCAGACAGCCCCAGCCACGCCTTCTTCTCTAGCCTGTCCCCAAGCCTCGAGCAGCGGCCTGTGCCCCGGCCTTGGGGACGACATACTGCCTTCAGTTTCTGCGCTGGTTCTGCCAGGGAACTCCTAGAGCTTCAGACATCACTGTACTGCCCCTAAAACCTATGGCTTTTTAATTTTTGTCTATATATACTAGTTGGCCAATTAATTTATTTCTATTTTTAGTAGAGACAGGGTCTAGCTCTTGCTCAGGCTAGTTTGGAACTCCTGACCTCAAGCAATCCGCCCGCCTCGGCCTCCCAGAGTGCTAAGATTACAGGTGTGCGCCACCGTGCCTGGCCAACCTCTGGCTTTTTAATAGGTCACCAACAGCAACCACTCAGGGTGCGTGTGAGGGAGCCCAGGCGGCCTGACCTTCCCTTGTGGCCCTGGGTAAGAAGAAGGGGGACTGCTGGTCAGCTCCACCACGCCGCCCAGGTGGGGTCCAGAGCCCGCTCCCCGGCTCAGAGCCTCGGCTCCAGCCCCGCCTCGGAGCTGGGGGCGCTTGTGCCGAGGGCCTGACTGGAGCTGGGTAGGGGGACAGTGTGGCCCAGGCGGCCCTGGAGGCTGCAGCGAGCACCACGGGCCCCCCCCCCAGAGGGCCCACAACAAAGCACCAAGGCAGGGCCTGCACGAGGGGAACTGGGATGACCCCCCCAGCAAGCCGTCGACAGTCTTGCTTTTTCTTTTTTCTTTTGACACAGAGTCTCACTCTGTTGCCCGGGCTAGAGTGCCATGGTGTCAGCCTAGCTCACAGCAACCTCAGACTCCTGGGCTCAAGCAATGCTACTGTCTCAGCCTCCCAAGTAGCTGGGACTACAGGCATGTGCCACCATGCCCAGCTAATTTTATATATATATATTTAGTTGTCCAATTAATTTCTTTCTATTTTTAGTAGAGACGGGGTCTAGCTCTTGCTCAGGCTGGTTTCGAACTCCTGACCTTGAGCGATCCTATGCTTTTAACTGAAGGGAGAACTGGTGGGTGGGGCTGCACTCTGCCCGTGGCAGCAACAGTGGAAGCAGAGGACCAGAGTGAGAACAAGCTCACAGAGGAAGAAGGCAGAAGAGGAGGAGAAAGGGTGGAGGCAGGCAGGTGGAGAAAGGGTGGAGGCCACTGCAGGCGGAGCACCAGCCAGGATGGCTGTCACGGCGGGAGTCCAGACAGGCCTGTGGCTGGAGGAGCAGCTGGGCCCACTGGAGCAGGGAACCCACCTCTCTCCTGAGGGCTGCAGGGTCCGAGGCTCTCGGCTGCTTCTCGCCTGAAGGCTCCCCTCCGTCCTGCCAGGCCATCCCGAGATGCTCCCCCAGCTCAGCCACCTGCGTCCGCAGCTCCAAAACCTCCAGGTGCACTTGGTTCACCTCTCGGGGAAGCTCTCGCTGGACGGTGTCTGGCTCCAGGGGCTTCTGCAACACCTAGGAGGCCATTCAGGAGCAGCGTTAGGCTGGATGTGGTCGCCACAAACCCACTCCCTCACCTCTTGGCCACTGCTCCCACCTGCCAGCTGCCCGGGTCACTCACAAACCCGCTCCCTCACCTCTCGGCCACTGCTCCCACCTGCCAGCTGCCCGGGTCACTCACAAACCCGCTCCCTCACCTCTCAACTGGCAGCTCCGCCCGGCTGTGCCTCAGACCCCGGGCTGAGGGCTAGTCTGTGGGTGGAGGTGCTGGGACAGAGGCCTCAGAACCCTCTTCCTGAGCCTTCCTGAACCCGCTGCTTCCAGGGGGAAACAAATGCCTCTAGAAAACGGCAGGTAACCAGTCGGAGCTATGGAGTTTTCTTTTCCGATAATCGAAGGGCAGAGCTGGGAGGCAGGTGGGAGACCCAGAGGCAGACGAGAGGCGGAAGTGAACAGACGGCTTGGAAAGGGAATCCAGGGGGCACAGGGACGGCTCTGGTGGCTGCAGGCTGGCCACGGGGTTCCCAGCCGGGGTCCCCCCAGCCTCCCCAGAGCCCTGGGCTGGCGTCTCCCGCGGGGGCCACTCTCAGCGTCTGCCCCACACCTGGCGCAGGGGAGCGCGGGGCGGGGGGACAGGAAGACACCCTCCCCACACCTTCACTCTCCCACTTCATCCTCAGGAGAGAAAATATGATTTTTCCTATTCAGGGGATCCTACAGAGAATTCCTGATGAATCACTTATGTTTGAATTTGTCACACACACAAACCAAGGTGACCATGTGGTAAACAGGCACCGCTAAGTCAACAAACAAACAATACTCTGAGGTGAACATTTTTCCTAGGATAACCGCACGATCTACATTACACCAAGATAAAACCACAAGCCTTTATTTAAATATTTCTTATTTGTCGTGTGCGTGTGCGCGTACACACGTGTGCGTGTGCAACCCCGACGCCGGGCAGAACTGGGAAGGGCCTGGAGTCTCCCCTCTCGCGTGTGCGTGCACAGGCCTCCAACCTCACAAGCAGACATGGAAAAGCAGTCGAGTTTGTCCCTACGGCAACAACGGAGATGCGCTTCCCATCAAGACAGCAGATGTCACCAAAACACGCTACGGGTATGAAGTGACCAACACGCTGACTAGCCTGACTGGCCATTCCACACTGCACACATATTTAGAAACAACACGTTGTACACCATAAATACACACAGTATTTATTTGGCATTTAAAAACAAGCAAATAAATAAATCCAAAATCTTTGGAAGGTAGAAAAGACAAGGCCGAGTGCGGGGGCCCAGCTTGCGCCGGGCAGCAGATGGGAATTCCGGGCGGTCTCCACTCCACAGGGACGCTCCCCCCGACTTTAGCTAAAGTGTGGACTTAGAGGACCTGTGACAGGTCCCTCCTCAGGTTGCCTCTTGAGAAATAAAAGGCAACAGGACAGAATGGTCCAGAGGCACAAGCCACAAGAAAAATGCATAAACCAGATTTGATCAAAATTAGAACTGGGGCAGGGGGCGGTGGCTCACGCCTGTAATCCTAGCACTCTGGGAGGCCCAGGTGGGCGGATTGCTCAAGGTCAGGAGTTCAAAACCAGCCTGAGCAAGAGCGAGACACCGTCTCTACTAAAAATAGAAAGAAATTAATTGGCCAACTAATATATATAGAAAAAAATTAGCCGGGCATGGTGGCGCATGCCTGTAGTCCCAGCTACTCGGGAGGCTGAGGCAGGAGGATCGCTTGAGCCCAGGAGTTCGAGGTTGCTGTGAACTAGGCTGACGCCACGGCACTCTAGCCTGGGCAACAGAGTTAGACTCTGTCTCAAAAAAAAAAATTAGAAACATTTGTGTTCCCGAGGACCCAATCACTGAGAGAATAACAAGACGGTGGGAGAAAAATCAGCAGATCGAGTATCTGATAAGGGCTTGTATCCAGGAATGCAGGGAAAATCTCTCACGACTCAACAATGCAAAGACAAATAACCCCGTGGGCAAGGGATCTAAACAGACATTTCTCCAAAGACATACAAACGACCAAGCGGTCCATGAAAAGACACTCAACATCACATGTCACCAAGAACATGCAAATCAAACCACATGGAGATGGCACCTTGCCCCACCAGGAGGGCTAGAATCACGGACGACAGCCAGTGTCGGGAGGATGTGGAGAAGCTGGAACCTTCCACACCGCTGCTGGGCGTGTAAAACGGTGCACCCGATCTGGAAGACAGTCTGGTGGCTCCTCAAAATGCTAAATACAGAATGATCATGTGACCCAGCTATTCCACTTCTAGGTATGTACCCAAAACACTGAAAACCCAAGTCTGCACAGAGACTCGTACAGGAATGTTCCTAACAGCGTTATTCGCGATCCGAAAAGTGGAAACAAACCAATGCTGACCAACTCACAGCAGATAAACTAAACATAGTGGACTCACACAGCGGAGTGTCACTCAGCCATCAGAAGGAAGGGAGTGCTGACACACCCACAGAGAGACCTCGAGAACCTCACACCACACGAAAGAAGCCAGACACAAAAGGACGAGTACTCAGCTGGGCGTCGTGGCTCACCCTGCAATGCCAGCACTCTGGGAGGCCAAGGTGGGGGGATCATTTGAGCTTAGGAGTTCGAGACCAGCCTGAGCAAGAGTGAGACCTCGTCTCTATTAAGAATAGAAAAATTAACACTCCGTGCCCAGCTACTGAGGAGGCTGAGGCAGGAGGATCAATTGAGCCCAGGAAGTTGAGGCTGCAGTGAGCTGTGATCACGCCACTGCATTCTACCTGGGGGACACAGTGAGACTCTGTCTCAGAAGAAAAAAAAAAAGGGCAAGCACTGTACGATTCTGTCCACGTGAGGCACCTAAAATAGACAATTTATAGGGAGCAAGAGGGAACCACTGGTTACCGGGGCTGTTACTGGGGGCTGGCGGGTGGGGAATCACTGCTTTATGGACACAGAGTTTCCATCTGGGGTGGATGAAAAAGTTCTGGAAACAGACAGTGGTGATATTTACACAACATTGGGAATATACTTAATGCCACTGAATGATGCACTTAAAAATGGTTAGAATGGCAACATTTGTCATGCATATTTTATCATAATTTTTTTAAGTAAAAAGCAAAAAGATTGTATGAATTTGAAGCAATCAGACCTGGACTGTGGCTCCAGCCACAAGTGTAACAGGCCAGGATTCCTTCTGGGATTCCCTTCAGCCGAGCGTGACCACAACCCGACGCCAGAGGGGCACCAGACCAGGGGACTGCAAAGAATGGCACTTGCTAATGTCACGGGGGGAGCGTTAGGGTCACCGCGTGGCGTGCCGGCCACTCCTGGGGCCGGTCCCAGCAAGGAGTGGGTGTCCTGCCCACCGGCGCTGCACCCGCGGCCTGGACCTTTCCCTCCCAGCAGATTCTGACTCTGCACCGTCTGCGACCACACGCCAGGCAAACGGGCTGCTCCTCACAACAGCTCCTTCCTTAGCAAGGAAGGGAACAAGCACAGAGAGGCCACGTGGACATCCGAAGTCACACAGGGTTGCACCCAGCAGGGGCTCGGAGCCCGCACCTGTGCCCACCCGTGGGGACGGCTCTCCAGCAGGAAGACCCCACGACTCCAAGTGTCGGCAGGACGAACTCACCTTCTGCCTGAGCCGCGTCACCAGCAAGTTCAAGAGACGCACTCTGTCTCCGAGCTTCCGGAAGGCCAGCCCAGCGGACACATGGCCAGCTTGGGCAGATCCTGCTGTAGAGGAAAGCGACTTCTGTCAGGCTCGGATCTTAAAAAATAAGGAAGGTCTTTCTGGGGGGATGAACATCACTCTCATCTCTGCCCTCTCCCTCGGTCGGGACCAGCTGCTGACCTCCTGAGTCCCCCACGGCAGCCGAGAGGTCTGGGTCCACGTGAGGGTCAGAGAGGTGTCGTAAAGTACAACCCTTATGCAAAGAAAGGCATCTTTGTGGGGAAAACTCCAACCTTACCATGTAGCACCTGACAGAGACCAATGGCTCTAGTGTCTCCACTTAAATTTGGGGGCACTTTTTGAAAATGAAGAAAAAGATGTCCACATAACACATGGTTCAAGGAAAAAATCACGGCCGTGCGTGGTGCCTCACGCCTGTAATCCTAGCACTCTGGGAGGCCGAGGCAGGAGGATCGCTCAAGGTCAGGAGTTCAAGACCAGCCTGAGCAAGAGTGAGACCCCGTCTCTACTAAAAATAGAAAGAAATTAATTGGCCAAATAAAAATATATAGAAAAAATTAGCCGGGCATGGTGGCGCATGCCTGTAGTCCCAGCTGCTTGGGAGGCTGAGGCAGGAGGATCGCTTGAGCCCAGGAGTCTGAGGTTGCTGTGAGCTAGGCTGACACCACAGCACTCTAGCCCAGGCAACAGAGTGAGACTGTCTCAAAAAAAGAAAAGAAGAAATCACAATGGACATTAGAAATTATATTATTTTGAACCCAATGATAACAACACTACTTTCCCAACTTAAGGAGTACACCTAAAGCTGTCCATTCAAGAAAATAAACACACACACATACTTTTTTTTAGAGATGGGGTTTCACTGTCACCCAGGTAGGAGTGCAGTGGCGTGATCATAGCTCAGTGTAGCTTCAAACTCCTAGGTTCAAGTGATCCTCCTGCGTCAGCCTCCCAAGTACCTGGGACTACAGCACCTGCCGCCAGGTCTGCTTGAGAGAGAGAGAGAGAGAGAGAGACAGACAGACAGACAGACAGACAGAGTGTGTGTGTGTGTGTGTGTGTGTAGTAGCAATGGGGTCTTACTACATTGCCCAAGCTGGTCTCGAACTCCTGGCCTCAAGCGATCCTCCTGCCTTGGCCTCCCAAAATGCTGGGATTACAGGCATGAGCCACCACATTCAACCCTATTTGAGAACATTTATATGCATATTTTAGAATATGGAGCGTATTTTTGAATATAAATATTTAGATGCATGTTTTAGAAAAGAAGAAAATGTGAAAATCAATGAGCTAAAATTCATCTCAAAAAATTAGAAAAATATGCTGGGTGCAGTGGCTCAGCCCCTTCTCCTACCCCCAAAGCCCCACACCCTCCCCGCAGCCTGCTATATACAGAGCACAACCCCTTCTCCTACCCCCAAAGCCCCACACCCTCCCTGCCCGCAGCCTGCTGTATACAGAGCACAGCCCCTTCTCCTACCCCCAAAGCCCCACACCCTCCCTGCCCGCAGCCTGCTGTATACAGAGCACAGCCCCTTCTCCTACCCCCAAAGCCTCAAACCCTCCCTGCCCGCAGCCTGCTGTATACAGAGCACAGCCCCTTCTCCTACCCCCAAAGCCCCACACCCTCCCTGCAGCCTGCTGTATACAGAGCACAGCCCCTTCTCCTACCCCCAAAGCCCCACACCCTCCCTGCCCGCAGCCTGCTGTATACAGAGCACAACCCCTTCTCCTATCCCCAAAGCCCCAAACCCTCCCTGCCTGCAGCCTGCTGTATACAGAGTACAGCCCCTTTGGGGAAGAGCACCAGAGGGTCAAGGATGGAGGGAGGAGCCATGTGTGAGAGCAGCCAGAGGCAACAGAGCAAAACCTCTGGGAACCCAGCTCTGAGTTGAATCCTGCCCAGCAGCTCACTGGGCTCTCAGTGGCTCTCGAGAGGAGAGGGCAGGGCAGGGCCCCAAGCGTGGGCCAGGATAGGCACTGCTGTGCACCTACCAATGCTGACTGCCTGATAAAACGAAAGATAGAATGACAGAACCAAAAACTGCCCCTCACACTGAAAACCAGGAAATCTCAACGGGAATGAAAAAGGCAACACCAAGATGACACAGATGCTGGAAGTACGAGATGAGGCAGCCGCCACAAAATACCACAAGCAATTTAACACACTCGTACAACAAACGGCAAAATGAAAGTTTCAGCAGAGAAATGGAAGATGTGACGAAAATCAAAATGGAAATTTTAGAATTTAAATGGTGTTAATTTAAACAATAAGTGACAGAAAAAGAGAGTGATACTCGATGGAGGTTTATTAAAGCCCAGACTTTGAGGACGTGCCTGGGAAACGCAAGGAAGGAAGGGCTGAGAACTTGGATTTCGAGGAAGAGGAGGGTGCACAGGACAAAGGGAGGGCGAGGAGGGAGCCAGAGGCGGCCAACATTCTTGGGGCTGTGTTCTAGCTCCGCAAACCTGCGTGAGATAAGATGGACATTCAGAAAAGGGATCTTAGGGTGGGTAGAGATGTGACCTTATCTCTCCTGGGTTTGCGTCCTGGAGATAAACTTGTAATGGAAGTTTAGGAATTCACTCAGGCGGACATTCCTCAGGTGATAACGGACCACATACTCATGTGATAGGGGCTGCACCTCTTGAAGGTTTTTTGTTGTGTTTTTTTTAGGGTTGAAGGAAAAAATAAATATTTTACCTATGAACTAAAATAAGATTTTAAGGCTCACCCCTGCCCCCACCAGCTGACTAAATGGACCCACTTGTGGCCAAAGGAATATCCTAGAGCTAAATTGCCTGCCAGGAGGAAGGAGGTCAGACCTGCCTTATCATGCCCCCTCCCTTCTTGGGGACTTTCTTTGTAACCCATTAACAGGCATAATGGTATACAACACACACCTGCAGGTCCTCAATTTATGCAACAAATGTATGTCCCCTGGCTCATCTCTGATAACAACTCCTTATGTTAAAACATTCCAAGCCTTTAGACAAAGCTTCATGTCTTTAACCAATTACAAGCCAAAGAATCTTTAAATCCACCTATAACCTGTAAGCCTCCCCTCCCTTCGAAATGCCCCACCTTTTTGGGCCAAGCCAATGGATGGCCTCCCACGTATTGATTTATGACTTTACCTGTAACCCCCGTCTCCCTGAAATATATAAAACCAAACTGTGACCCAGCCACAGTGAGTCCACTTGCTCGAGGCTTCCTGGGCGTGGCTCCGGGTCATGGTCCTCAAATCTGGCTCAGAATAAACTTCTTTCAAATATTTCAGAGTTTGGATTTTTCCGTCCACATACGCCAAAACACATTTCTTTGTCCTATTTTGAGATGGCTCTGGGCAAACAGGAGCTCGCTGCAAGGCTGTCTTTGTGGGAGGCTGGGGAGAAATCTGCATCTGTGGAGAATCTCTGTCAAATGCAGCCAGGCCCTGCCTGTTTGATGTGGACAGGTTTGCCTCTGAATATGCAAATAAAAACGCAAATAAAAATATGCAAATAAAACACTTCCCTGAGGCTCATCCCAGAACAAGACCACCTGGGCAGCCAGCTTCCCTTCCCCCTGCCATGCCCTGTCCAGCAAAACACAGCCCCGTCCAGTCGTTTTCTCAGCACCCTCATGTCTGGAAAGAGGACCCTACGCTCCCCGGGGAGAGGACACCGTGCTCCTGCGACTCAGCGATCAGGCTCCGTTCTCTCCCTTTCAGCGCAATGAATTCTGGGGACTCCTGAGATTTTCATTTTTTCTTTACAATGGGAAACAATGATCTCTATGAATGGGCTCAGCAGAATGGAAATGGCAACAGAAAGAAAGGATAAACTCAAAGAACCAGCCAGCAGAAAGGATCCAACCTGAACGACAGAGAAAGTGAGGTGGGAGGGCAGGCGGGCCGGGGCAACCCTGGGGAGCGGTCACACCAGAGCCATCAAAGAAGCGACTGTCTTAGGGATGAGGGGGCCATGTTTCTCCTTGCTGAAAAGGAAATCAGAATAATGAAGAGGAGAAAACTAGAATGAACCTTGTGATGCCGGCTAACCACAAAGGAGCAGACTGGCCGGTGAGTCTGCCTTGAAATCAGGAACTGCCACTCACCAGAAGACACCAGCGAAGGAGAAAAAGGCAACACGTGCAACCAACAACAGACTCACATTCAGAATAAACGCCCTAAAAATCTAAGAAAACAGGCAGACAATCCAATAAAAATCCGAAACAGGCAAATGACAAGAGTGGCACGTCCTAGAAGAGGGTACTGAACGGCTAATTCCCATGGGCCGAACTGCGTTCCCCAAAACCCACAGGCTGGAGCCCAAACCCCACGTGAGTGCGTGTGGAGTTGGGGCCTGCAAGGAGGTCGTTCGGGGGAAATGAGGGTGCGAGGGTTCCCAATCCAGCAGGACTCGTGTCCTCATAGGAGGAGGAAGAGAGACCAGGACGGAGGGCGGGGAAAGGCCACGCGAGGACGCAGGGAGAAGGCGGGGCCCACAAGCCAAGCAGAGGCCTCAGAAGAAACCAGCCGCAGGCGCCCGATCTCGGACGTCCAGACTCGGGAAGTGAGAGAAAACACCTGTCGGTGGTCTGAGCCGCGTGCTCTGTGGTGCTCACTTACGGCATCCGAGCAAACCAAGACACCAGCGAACACGGGAGAGGAGGTTTGATCTCAGAGATGGACGAGGAAATGCACGTTAAGTAGGATCAGCTCCACGTCCACCTGCATGGCCACGACAGGAAGAGCTGGCTGTGTGAGTGTCGGCGGGCGCAGGTCCCTCACGCACGGCGGACAGGTGCAAACTGGCGAACACCCGGAGAACGGTCTGGCCCACCAAGCAAAACACAATGTAGGGGCCGGGCGCGGTGGCTCACGCCTGTAATCCTAGCACTCTGGGAGGCCGAGGTGGGAGGATCGCTCGAGGTCAGGAGTTCAAAACCAGCCTGAGCAAGAGCGAGACCCCGTCTCTACTAAAAATGGAAACAAATTAATTGGCTACCTAAAATATATACAAAAAATTAGCCGGGCATGGTGGTGCATGTCTATAGTCCCAGCTACTCAAGAGGCTGAGGCAGGAGGATCGCTTGAGCCTAGACAAAAAACCACACACACACACACAATGCAGGTCAAAGGAGCCAGAGAGAAGCCCGCGTTCCACAAAACTCCATCCACGTGAGAACAGGGAGACCCCCTGTGGAGGGAGGAGTCGGGCGGTGGCCGACCACAGGGAGCAGGGGGCTCCTGGGAACCCTGTTTGCGGCAGGCCCTGAGCTGTGTGCCTGCACGTGGGGCCTCTCTGGAGGGCTCGCCTCGCACTCTGCAGAGACAGAGCGTGACTGGGACCGAGCACGTGGCACAGGGAGACCAGAGCTCACCCGCTGCCGCTGCTGCCACCACCTCCGAGGTGTGGACGCCGGGCTGCACGTCAGCGTGTGATGAGGACATCCTCAGAGGGTCCAACGCGTCTATCAGTTGTTCTTCCAACGTTTTAAACTTGTGCTTTAGATTTTGTACTTCTGCTTCAAAGGCCAGAGCATAATCTGCCAAAAAAGCCAGAGGACATGGTGTATACACAGCTCACACCACGGCCACCAAGGCAGAGCTGCCCACCACCGACTGACCTCTCCCTGCCCCGCCCCGAGCGGCTTCCACGCTCCCCGCACCAGCCCGAAAGGCCTCTCCCCTCATTCACGGAGCGCCCGCCAGAGACCGGCTCGGAAGTCAAGCTCTCCAAGAAGGGCTTGGCCCTTAGGAGTGAACGCCAGCCCCGCTTCCGGCCTCTGTGCACCCAGGGGAATGACTCCTGTTTCGAGTCCTCCAGCAGCCTGGTGCCACCCGTCTGCGCCCACTTGCTGCCCCACAGCCAGCGAGGCACGGGTAGGGGCTGCCCTCCTCACTCTCCCAAGGGTGCTCCTCTGGAGGAAGGGCCTGGTGCCCACCAGCCCCTGCCGCCAGCCACTAGGAGGCAGCGCAGGTCCTGGGCCAAGGCTGAGACCCTGGGTTCTTTCTCGTTTTGTGGGGGACAGGGTCTTACGAGTTGTTCGGGCTGGCTCTGGACTCCTGGGCCCAAGCTGTCCTCCCACCTCGGGCTCCAGCGTAGCTCGGACCACACCCAGCTCTACTTAATGTCTTTCTTTTTATTTTGAGACAGAGTCTGGCTAGAGTGCCGTGGTGTCAGCCTAGCTCACAGCAGCCTCAAACTCCCGGGCTCAAGGGATCCTCCTACCTCAGCCTCCCGAGTAGCTGGGACTACAGGTGCCACCACTACACCTGGTGAATTTTTTCTTTATTTAGTACAGACAGGCTCTCGCTATCACTCAGGCAGGTCTACCGTGGTTTCTACGTGTGTCAAGTAAGTCCCCTCACCTTTTCTCTTCCACTTGGCCAATGTGTAAGTTTTTTAACATGAACCTTAAGATCCCTTCTCTTGAAGGAAAAGCAGCAGTCACAACCTGCGAGACCCCCCCCAACACAAAGCCACTCGGAGCCCAGTGGAGCCGCGTCCTGCTGTCTCCCCGTCTCCCTCCCTACGGCTCACCTGGAGTGGCAGCGTCTCCTCCCGCCGCCACTGGGCCCGGCTGGTCTGCACTCTCTCCTCCCAGCCGGGCAGGCGGGCGGGTCTGCTCACTGAGCGTCTCCATGTCCCTCCTCATTTGAGCGACAGCGCCGCGCAGCCTTGCGTTCTGCTCTCGCAGCCGCTGGACCTCACCGGATGGGAAGTCTTTACTTGTTTCCTCTTCTCCACGCTGCACCAGGAGTACCTGTCAAACAACAGAAACAAACCCAAGAAGCGAAAGGAGGGCGGTTCCGGCTGCGAATCCCCTTGCTTGTCCGACAGGCTGCGCCTTTGCCCTCCGTGGCCGCCTCTGCTCCCCGGTCCTCCAGGGCTGCAAGGACCCCCCGCCCCACCTGCCAGGAGTAAGACCGTGACGCTCAGATCCACGAAGCGCACGTATTGTCTAAGTGCAGAGTCATCAAATCCGCAGAATCGTAAAGTAGAAGGGAGGTGCCGGAGGGGCTGGGGGGAGGGGAGTTAGTGTTTAATGGGGTCAGGGTTTCAGGTTGGGATGATGAGAAAGTTCTGGAGATGGACGGTGGTGAGGTGCACAACCACATGAACGTACTTAAGGCCACGGAGCTGCACACCTGAGAACAGTTAAAACAGCAAATAGGCCGGGCGCGGTGGCTCACGCCTATAATCCCAGCACTCTGGGAGGCCGAGGCAGGTGGATCGCTCAAGGTCAGGAGTTTGAGACCAGCCTGAGCAAGAGCGAGACCCGTCTCTATTAAAAATAGAGAGATGTGATGATGCCACTGCACTCCAGCCTGGGTGAGAGTGAGACCCTGTCTTGAAACAAACAAAATAACCCAATGACGCCAACAGGATAGGAAGCATCATTTCAAATTCTAGAAATAAACAAGTCACTTGGCTTCATGGCCAGTGATGATGTGCTGGGGGCCGAGCGTTCTCTCCCTGCCAGCCCTGCTGCTGCCCGGCCTCAGCGCCCGCCTGCCAGGCTGCCCGTCCTCCACGGGCCCACAGCGCCCGCCTGCCTGGGCTGCCCGTCCTCCTCGGGCCTCAGCGCCCGCCTGCCCAGGCCGCCCATCCTCCATGGGCCTGCGGCAGAGCCCGGCCATCCCTGTGTTGTGATGACTCTCGCGCCTGACCGAGACAGGAGCCCGGCGTGAGCTCCGACTGTGTGCGCTAGAACTGAACGTTCTGCAGAGAAGACACAGAGTTCCCCGCCCTGTAAGCTTCTTAGGGGATAGGTGTTAAATAAATGAATAAGCGACAAGTTACATTCTTTTTTTTTTTTTTGAGACAGAGTCTCACTCTGTTGCCCGGGCTAGAGTACTGTGGCGTCAGCCTAGCTCACAGCAACCTCCAACTAGCTGGGACTACAGGCATGCGCCACCATGCCCGGCTAATTTTCTCTATATATATTGGTTGTCCAGTTAATTTTCTTTCTGTTTATAGTAGAGACGGGGTCTCACTCTTGCTCAGACTGGTCTTGAACTCCTGACCTTGAGCGATCCACCCGCCTTGGCCTCCCAGAGTGCTGGGATTATATAGGCATGAGCCACCACACCTGGCCCCAAAATTCTTAACTATAGTTAATATGTGGGTCTCACACACACGTGGCCACCTCAGCACTCCTGGCGGAAACAAACCTGGGCAGAAAAGCAAGTGGACGAGGAGAGGAAGTGGGACGGCGGCTGCCTTGGGCGGGGAGGTGGGGCCCACAGGGTGGGGCATGGGCATCTGGGGCGGGGGCTGGAACGCTCCCCACCTTGTTAGCACGGGACACTTGCCTAACTCACTGACCTGTACATTTAAGATGCGTGTGTCTCGTGTGTGTAAACACACCTGTGGAAAAGAAATGCCACTTGCAGGCTGGAGACAGCCCTCCCTCGTCAGGCCCCTCATCTCTCAGCCTCGTGCTGTCCTGGCCCCTCGGACCCCTACCCAGCCCCTCGGCCGTGGACGCGGCTCTGCTCTCACAGGCCGAGACAGTGCAGGCATGTTCCTCCCCGTCCCGCATGTCAGGGCACACGGCACCAGCCTCCAATTCGAAGGAGCTGGGAGACCCTGGCACAGGCCAAGCCCTCAGCTACAACACAAAGGAAACCAGCGCTGCCCTGACAGGGGCGGGCTCAGAGCGCCCGCCGCGGCCCTGCTGAGACGGACGCCACGCCAGCGACCTCAGCAACGTCTGGCGTCTGAAAGCGTTTGGAGCTGGGGTTTTCAGAGCTTCCAAATGTGAGAGACGCAAGGAAGACCCTGCTATGTGTTCATCCTAACTCTGTAACTACTTCGGTACGCGCTCACCGGCCGAGAAACCTCGCCCACAGCCGGTGCTCACGGTCCACACAACAGCTTGTGCTGTGCATTGACGACGGGTCCGTTCTGCTCTTGTGTGATGAGGAAAGCTTTAAAGCACTGGAAGCTTGTTTCACTTTATAGGCAGCTTTACTTGTCACGTAAATCAGAATAGGTAACATATACGTGTATGTTTTCACTACGTTATTTTTCAATGTTGACATTTTATTTTGATAAATGAAAAATTAGAAAATTCATATCATGGCTGTCGGCTAAAGTCGCGGCTCGGCTGTGTGCATTCACCTGTGGCTGTCCACTACAGTCGCCGCTCGTACCAAAGTGGTTAAAGCCTCAGACTGACCTCGCTAGTGAAACCAGTCATTGAAAAAGGAACACGACAGAAAGACTTGGCTCCGGTTTGGGGAAGCTGCTGCTCACTGAAGCCGGGAGGGAAGGGCCGGCAAGGAGGCTCAGGGAGAGGGTGTGCGGGGCGGGCGCTCACCTGTGCCCCTGGCGCGGGGAGTCCGTGTGTCCTCAGCGCCTGCACGGCCTGGTCTCGCTCTGAGGTCACCGCCTTCAGCGCAGCCTCCTGCTCCCGCAGCGCCCGCTCGGCCTCCTGCAGCTTGGCGGCCGCCTGGAAAACAGGCAGGCTCAGGGTGTCTGCAGTTGCCGGGCAGTGCCAGCCTCAGACAGAGAGACCGCTCCCCCCTGCTTAGCAAGCGCACGGCAGACGCAGGCGAGAAATCCTTGGAGGACCTGGGCCACAGTGACGCTCTGAGTTGGGGTGTCCCCACGGTAGCCAGCAGCTAAACCCTTCCTGCCCAGTGCCCCGGCCACCCCCGCAGGGCCACAGCACGGGGGCAGGGGTCGCCTGGCACCGCCAGAAACATGCAGCTGCTCAGCTGGAGAAACAGCACGTGCAACAGAGCTCGGCAAAGGGGAGACGGGGCAGCAGCACATTTTCTTTTTTGAGACAGAGTCTCACTCTGTTGCCCGGGCTAGAGTGCCGTGGCGTCAGCCTAGCTCACAGCAACCTCCAACTCCTGGGCTCAAGCCATCCTCCTGCCTCAGCCTCCCGAGTAGCTGGGACTACAGGCATGTGCCACCACGCCTGGCTAATTTTTTCTATATATTTTTAGCTGTCCAAGTAATTTTCTTTCTATTTTTATTAGTAGAGACGGGGTCTCACTCTTGCTCAGGCTGGTCTTGAAATCCTGAACTCAACGATCCTCCCGCCTCGGCCTCCCAGAGTGCTAGCATTACAGGCGTGAGACCCCTCGCCCGGCAAGCAGCACATTTTTACTGCTGTAATTTTTGTTGCTAGAAATCAAACTGCTAGAAATCAACTGTGAGGTTTAGGGTTTTCAATTTAAGGAAGGATTTGGTGAGAGCCCCGCCCCCCCCTTGCCGAAGGGCTGAGAAGGCCCCGGTGACGCCGCGGCCACACACACCTGGTCTCTCGCCGAGGTCAGACCCTGAATCAAGGCCTCTGACTTTTGGATCTGGTCCCTTTCCACGTGGTCACAGCGGCGCTGCCAGTCCAGGCCCAGCTGCACCTGTTCTCGCTGCAGGCTCTGCTCCCTCTCGACTGCCAGGGACAGCTGCCGCTTGTACCTACGGACACAGCCACGCCGCCCGACGTCACCGTCTCCCGCGCCCCCCCCCACTGCAAAGCGGGGCGTGGAGGGCAACGAGGAGGAGCTGCCGCTCGCCCTCCCCGTCCCAGGGACGTGCCGGCCCAGGACAGACACGCAGGATGGCCGGGAAGAGAGGCAAGCAGGTGTCAGGCCCGACACTGTCAAAGAGGGTGACCACACTCAGAAAGAAGAACAGGTATGTGAGAAGAGAGGGAATAAAGCCAATAACCTTTAAAAAGATAAGAAAAATTGTTACGCACAGAAATTTGAGAGGATTTTCAGTTGTGAGAAGCAAACTAGAGCAGTGCAGACACAGCTGAAGAGCAAAACTCGAGAGAACCTTCCAGGACATAGTGCAAAGGGACAAAGGGACGGAAAAAGTTAGGAGGACAAGAGGTTTGGTTCTGTCTCGCAGGGGGTCTGACAGATCAGAATGGAGGGAGATGTCATCCAGGAAGGAGAGGGGTAAACCCGCCAGGTCAGAGCAAGAGCTGGGTCTTCGGGCTGAGGGATCCACCCTGCGCCAGACAGCTTCAAAGACCCGTGCATACACTGCCAGGGCAGACTGTGGACTACCGAGGACAAGGAGGAAAGCCAGAAGATTTTCCAGAGAGCGAGAGAGAAGTGTGCCGACATTAGCCTTCCTGCCAGCAAGGCTGGGGCTGGAAGACAACAGGCCATGCATGGGGGCGGAGTCTCGGCCCCAAGAGCCCCGCCCCTGAGTGTGGGCCCCGCCCACCCCAGGTGGTGACACAGTGACGTGGAACCATACAAGACTGGATGGAGACCCCTGCTGTGAGCGGGTCCCAGGACCTGAGGGTGAGTCTTGGCGCCCAGAGCTACTCCAGCTGGCAGCCAGCAAGGAAGGGACCTCAGCCCCACGGCTACGAGAACTGATTCCTGCCCTCCGGGACTGGAGCCTCAGAGGAGAGGGCAGGCCTGGCCGCACCCTCCCTCTGCCTGGGGAGAGCCAGGCCCAGACCAATGGCCAAGAAACCAAAATGATAAATGGGTGTTGTTTGAAGCTTCCTTCCCGTTAATTTTTTACCTAGAAATAACAAAGTAACACACAATTGGTTTTAAAATCCAGAGGGGAAATGGTCTGGGACAGGGGTGGAGATCCCCGGCCTTAAGGCTACATGTGGCCTTTTAAAATTGCAACTTGACAAGAAGTTGTAAGTACATTCACCCAAATGCAACACAGCACCGTCAGTGTTGTCAGGTGCTAAAGTTGCATGATGTATGCAGTGTGGGTTTGCCATATTCTGAAGTGTGTTGGCTATGGCAGGGACAGGTGTCAGCCAAAATTTTACCTCGGCAAGAACAGACAGTTAAATTTTACGAAGAACAGAATCAGCACTGTGAATTATTGAAAGAAGATTTCTACAAGAATGCAGCATTTCTGTGTGATACCATGTCAAATCAAAACAACTGGACCATTTCTTTGCAAGGCAAAACTAAGTGTGTATAGGATACGTGGCAAAAACTCCAAGAATTTTGAAAAAAGCTATCTTTTTTTCAAAACACTTCTTCAAAAGGAAATTTCAGATGAACATTTCCCCGGTTAGCAAAGGTCACTGGTGAGCAGGATATATAAGCGAATCATCTGCAGAATACGCAGCGGTTAAGGCCTGTTAATTGGGGAACACAATGGAAGGTTCACTGACTTTGAGCATCGCAACACACTCAAATCAGCATTTCACCCTCACCTAGTTGGCACCACCAAGACACCTAAAGAACTTCAGCCGGAATTGACTGAGCTCTCAGCAGATGACATTTTAAAGTCATTATCGATGCTAAGGAAGATCCAATTGAAATATGGAAAAATGCAGCAGAATACCCACGCCTACAGCAACATGCCCGAGAAATACCTTCTTGCTTTTCAACCACTTGTTGCTGTGAGTCTACATTCTCCTACCTGACCCTGATCAAGACGCCCTTAGGGTCACAGGTGACAGATGCCCATCTGCATCCGACCTCCAGGCTGCCACCAAACATTCAAATGCTTCCCAACAAAAAGCGGACACAACAAAGTCATCAGAAGGTTTGTTAACTTTAACATTAACAAATGGGCCGGGCACAGTGGCTGACGCCTGTAATCCTAGCTCTCCGGGAGGCCGAGGCGGCGTCGATTTGAGCTCAAGGAGTCGAACCAACCTGAGCAAGAGCGAGACCCCTCTTACTATAATAGAAAGAATTAATGCCAACTAATATATAGAAAAAATTACGGGCATGTGGCCATGCCTGTAGTCCCAGCTACTCGGGAGGCTGAGCAGGAGGATCTTGAGCCCAGGAGTTGAGGTTGCTGTGAGCTAGGCTGAGCCACGGCACTCACTCTAGCCTGGGCAACAAAGTGAGACTCTGTCTCAAAAAAAACATAAAAATTAAATAAAATAAAAATAAATTTAAAAAATGGTTTTCATTTTTTTAAATTATGAAGTACATGGCAGTTAGATTTTTACAAAATATATATACATTTTTAAGTATATCTAACTGAAGTTTCCTGAACGTGGCCTTATTTGATTGCCGCTAAGTTAATGAGGCCTCCAACATGAAAAAGTTCCCCACCTGTGGTTTGTAATCTTGTAACTAAACTGTTAAATTCCCATTCGCGCCAGAAGGCAGAAATAAAGATTTGAAGAAATATAAGGCTCCAGTTCATTGCCTATCGATCTGTTCTGAAAAGAAATGACCCAAGGGTGCACTGGAACAGGGCTTCTCAACTGTTGGGAAGGGCCAGTAACTCGTTTAAATTTCCACGCCACTGAGGACGACACTTACCGTGTTTCCCCGAAAATAAGACCTATCCATAAAATAAGCCCTAGCAGGATTTCTAAGCATTTGCACAATATAAGCCCTACCCCAAAAATAAGCCCTAGTGACAGGCGTGGCTACGCAGCGCATCTGCACAACCCATGCATTTTGTCATGGAGCGGGAAAGAAGATGAGCAGCCCTTGTCATCTGCCCCAGGAGAGCTCTATGGCTCGACATGAGAGATCGGGGCCGATGGTTCTAAAGGAAACAGAGTCGCAAGAAATTCAGGATGGAATTCGGGGTTTGGAGAGTTAGGATGATGTTCCAGAAGAAGACGACTTAACTCTATTTGAATAAATGTAGATTGTTGTACCGTACTAAAAAAAAAATAACACAACCCCTGAAAATAAGCCCTAGGGTGTCTTCTTGAGGAAAAATAAACATAAGACCTTGTCTTATTTTCGGGGAAACATGGTAGTAAAGTGCTACTGCAACAGAGGTGTGGCCTGGAAAAAACGGCAAAAACACTTTCTGTCTCTAAAGCTGCATCCCGGCCTCCAGTCGGTGCTAGGAGGGGCAGGTGAGTCTTCTGTCCTTTGTGCATCAGGAGACGGCCCAGCCCGGCCTGGCAAAGGGAGACCCTGGGCAGAGGAGGTCAGAGGTTGTCTTCAGCAGAGATGGGGGGATCAGGATTATCACCTGTAGTTGCCTGAAGCTGAGAACCCATCCTTTAAAAGCTCTGTATTTCCAAGAATGTTCAGGAAGTTTGGGGGTTTTTTTGAGATGAGAACGTCTGCCATTTTTTCCTCCTTTGCTGGCAAAGTAGACTCTCTCTTTCCTCCCTCCTCAAACCGCTTGCCCTGGTTATTCCGCCTCAGGGACAAGTGCCGAGTTTTTGGTAACACTAGCACACACAGTTTTTAATCCCTGTAACTACAGAATGTAAATAAATCTTTAAAACATCGCCTGGTGGCTTCGACGCCAGGCTTGTCTTCCCGTTTTAAACAACCAGGACAAAAACACGAAGCAGCTCTCACTTCCCAGACAACAGGCAGGCAGCACCACGGTCCCTCAGAGAAGGGGCCTCACAGGATGCGCCTAACCGCTGCTGGCTTTCCCTCGGGAGTGCCTTCTAGAGCCGGGGCGCGAACCCAAGCAAGGCACGGTGGCCTTGAGCGCTGAGGAAGAAGAGGGTCGGAGTCGGGGAAGCTGAGGGGGCTGAAGGGGACCTCAGGAGGCAGAGCACCAGCGCGCAGGCAGCTCCTGCAAGCTGCCCAGGGCCCCTGGGAACCGCGGCTGACAACTGCGTTGCAGACGCACTAGGGACAGCAGAGGCTGGGCAAAGAGCAACGGCTGGGACAGAGCAGCTGGCAGGGAGCTGCACCGAGTCCCAGAGCTTGCCAGGGCGGCCCGGCTGGGGAGTGCTCAGGGGAGGCCCTGTCACAGCGCTGGCTTCTCTAGCCGTGCCCTGCGGAGATTTAAAGCCAGTCTCAAGGGCCGGTGGCAGTGGCTCACATCTGTAATCCTAGCACTCTGAGAGGCAGGCGGAGCGCTCAAGGTCAGGAGTTTGAGACCAGCCTGAGCAAGAGCGAGACCCCGTCTCTACTAAAAATAGAAAGAAATTAAATTGGCCAACTAAAAATATATAGAAAAAATTAGCCGGGCATGGTGACTTGTGCCTATAGTCCCAGCTACTCGGGAGGCTGAGGCAGAAGTATTGCTGGAACCCAGGAGTTTGAGGTTGCTGTGAGCTAGGCTGACGCCACAGCACTCTAGCCCGGGCAACAGAGTGAGACTCTGTCTCAAAATTATAAATAAATGAATAAAATAAAACCAGTCTCAAGAGGATTAGGCTGCTGTGCAGGTACTTAACTGCAGCCAAACAAAGGCAGCACTTGTTAAAGGAGAAAACAGAAGCAGACACTCACCAGCACAATATTCATTCACGATGTCTGACAACCAGTACACACTTTCTAGGTGTGCAAGGAAGCAGGAACAATGTGGCCTCTATTCAGCAGGAAAATGAGAATACAAACAGACCCAGACACAGAGACACACTGGAATTAGCAAATTAGTACAAAAACATTTTACAACCGTTATTACAAATACGTTCAGAGACTTAAAGGCAACCGTGCAAATAATGACAGAAATAAATTATATAAACAAGACTAAATGGACCATTAAGAGCTGAAAAATAAAATGTATTAAGTAGAAAACCCACCAGACTTAACAGCAGATGAGACACTGTAGAAAGAAAGGTCAGTGAACAGGAAAATACCAAAAGAGAAATGATTTGGACAGAAGCACAGAGAGCAAAAGGAGTGAACATGGCGCACAGAGCTGCAGGGACCGCGTGGGCCCCCACACAAGCACCAGCCGGCACTCGCGCACCTGGAGTCCCAGAAGGAGGAAACACTCGGGCTCACTCACAGGACTCCCCACGGTGTGCAGCAGTCGGGGTTCTACAGATCAGTGACAAAGAGGAAAATGTAAAACCACAGGCAAAAGGCTTATTATATACAGAGGAACAAAGAATGGCCAAAGCCCCCTCATAAGAAGGCAACAAAATACCTTTACCATGCGGAAAGAAAAAAACTCTCCACCTAGAATTTTTCATCTAGTGAAAATGCTCCTCAGAAAGATTAAGGCGAGAAAGTTTCAGACACACAGAAGCTGAGATAACTCATGAGCTACAGATCTGCACTGCAGGAAACCCAAAAGGAAGGTTTGAGGGCTGAAGAAAAATGATTCCATGTGGAAACTTCAAATCTGATTTTTTAAAAGTGAAGAGAATCAGAAATAAATATTGGAAAAAGTATAAATTTTTTTTCTTATTTTTTAAGTTTTTATAAATGATAGTTGTCTGATCAAAGCAAAAATAACTCTCCCTATACGTGTAAAACATAAGAAAATGGTAAAAAAGAAGAAAAGGCATAAATCCTGTACCTTGAGCAGGATCATAAATTGAGGGGGTTGAATCGAAGGGTTTTCCCTCGAAGAGATAAACGTTATTTACAGACAGAGACTGTGGATCTAGGTCGGGCGCAATGCTCTGCACCTGCGATCAGCACTTTGGGAAGCAGAGGCAGGAGGATCGCTTGAGCTCAGGAGTTCAAGGTTACAAGGAGCTGTGATTCTGCCAGTGTACTCTAAGCCTGGGTGACAGAGTGAGACCTTGTCTGAAAGAGAGAGAGAAAGAGAAAGAGAAAGAGAAAGAGAAAGAGAAAGAGAAAGAGAAAGAGAAAGAGAAAGAGAAAGAGAAGAGAGAAAGAGAAGAGAGAAAGAGAGAGAGAAAAAGAAAGGTAGACTGCGCATCTTATAAATTTCAGAACAACCATGAAATACATAAAGCAGAGAGATTTACACAATCAAACAACTGGAAATAAAATGGAATACTAAAAATATTCAACTTTTCATTTTTTATATTTATTAATTATTTATGTTTTGAAGACAGAGTCTTGTCTTGTTGCCCAGGCCGGAGTGCAGTGGTGTCTTCATAGCTCACTGCAGCCTCCAACTCCTGGGCTCAATGATCTTCCTGCCTCAGTCTTTTGAGTAGCTGGGACCACAGGCCTGATGCCACATTGGGCCAATTTTTTGTATTATTTGATAGAGAAGGGGGTCTTGCTCTTGCTCAGGCTGGTCTTGAACTCCTGGCCTCGAGCCATCCTCCCGCCTCGGCCTCCCAGAGTACTGGGGTTACAGCGTGAGCCACTGCAGACGGCCCCAACTACTTTTTAAAGGGCAGTGAAGCTGGGTGCGGTGGCTCACGCCTGTAACCCTAGCACTCTGGGAGGCTGAGGCAGGAGGATCGCTCAAGGTCAGGAGATTGAAACCAGCCTGAGCAAGAGTGAGACCCCATCTCTACTAAAAATAGAAAGAAATTAATTGGCCAACTAAAAACATATAGAAAAAATTAGCTGGGCAAGGTGGCACTCGCCTGTAGTCCCAGTTACTTGGGAGGCTGAGGCAGAAGGATTGCTTGAGCCCAAGAGTTTGAGGTCGCTGTGAGCTAGGCTGACGCCACGGCACTCTAGCCTGGGCAACAGAGTGAGACTGTCTCAATAAAAAATTTTTTAAAATGCAGTGAAGAAAGAAACAGAGCAGATGAGGAAAATAGAAGACAAAGAGCAAGTTGGATATTTACACCCAAACTTATTTCAGTAATAGCATTAAATTATCTAAATCCTCTGAAGAGGCAGGCAGAAATTATCACACTACACATAAGAAGACTCACCACATGCCACCCATAAGAAGCACACCCTAATGATGAAGCATGAGAGTGGGAAGACCAGCTGTGCAAACTCAGCCTGAAACAGCTCCAGCAGCACTGCCCATTTCAGACAAAGTAGACTTCGGGACAACGAATATTACCAGGAATAAAGGGGGCTACTTCTTTTCATTTCTTTTTTTTTTCAGACAGAGTCTCGCTTTGTTGCCCAGGCTAGAGTGAGTGCCGTGGCATCAGCCTAGCTCACAGCAACCTCCCTGGCTCAACAACTCTGCTGCTCAGCTCCAGGTAGTCTGGGACTACAGCATCGCGCACCACTGTATGCGCCGGCTAATTTTTCTATATATATTCGCTTGGCCACATTAATTTTTTCATTTATAGTTAGAGACGGGATTTCACTCTTGCTCAGGCTGGTTTTGAACTCCTGACCTCCGAGAACCTCCGCCTCGCTCCAGAGTGCTAGGATTACAGGCGTGAGCCACCACGCCCAGCCAAAGGGGGCTATTTCTTACTAATAAAAGGGTCAATTTGTCAAGAAGCCATAACAAACTCAAATCTTTATGCACTTAATAAAAGAACTTCATGAGCCAGGCATGGTGGCTCATGCCTGTAGCCCTAGCACTTTGAGAGGCTGAGGCAGAAGGATTGCTTGAGCCCAGGAACTGGAGGCTGCTGTGAGCTACAATGACACCATTGCGCTTTACCCAGGGCAATAGAGTGAGACTCTGTCTCAAAAAAAACACCACATAAACACCACAAAAACCACAACCTCCAAAATAACTTAGATAAATGAGAACCTCATGAAGCACAGCCAAAATTACCCAACACTGATACACCGGCAAACAGACAAAACTATGAAACACTCTGCAATAAACTGTTGTATCTCCAAACAATAGAACACTACTGAACAATTAAAAGAAACAGCGCGGGCGCCAGGGGCTCACGCTGTAATCCTAGCACTCTGGGAGGCCGAGGCGGGCGGATTGCTCGAGGTCAGGAGTTGCGAAACCAGCCTGAGCAAGAGTGAGACCCCCGTCTCTACTATAAATAGACAATAAATTCATTGGCCAGACTAATATATAGTCAGACAAAAAAATTAAGCCGGGCATGGTGGCGCATGCTTAGTCCAGCTACCTCGGGAGGCTGAGGCAGGAGGAATCCGCTTGAGCCCACGGAGACTCTGAGGTTGCTCGTGAGCTGGGCTGATCGCCCACGAGCACTCTCTAGCCTGAGCAACAAACGCAGGACTCTGTCTCAAAACATAAATAAATAAAAGGAACAACCTACAGATACGTGCGACATGCACTGATCTGGAAATGATCACCTTAAGCCAAGGAAGCCAGACCCACATGGAAACACCCTATGATCCCACTCGGATGAGATGTGTGAACAGACCAGCTCTCCCGCAGTGACAGAAGTGGCGGTGGGGGGTGGGGGCCGGTGTGAGGAGAGGGTGGGGCGACGGAAAGGTGCAAAGTCTCACCTGGAGTGGTGGTTACGCAGGTGCACGGCCACGGTGTGTGCCTTACTTAAATATTTAAATCACTCTCCAGTAATAAAGTTGATTTTAATATACGTGGGAAATAGGACATTACCTTCACTCAAGTAAGTGTCCATCCCAACTGACAAGAAAAAACTCTAAAACGTGAACAATCAGACAAAAGACAGAGGCGACTCTTCACACAGGCTCCAGAGCATGGACACTGTCATGGCTCTCGTCAGACTGAAGGACACCGTCCCCCCACCCCGAAAGGCCCCTGACCCCACACCCACGCCCCGTTCCACTCACTGCCGCACAGCCACACGTCCAGCTTCTACTCGCTCCTCCCCTGTCTTTGTCCCTCAAAAGGACGTGAGGTCGGGGGCTTGATTTGCTCAGTTCTGAATCCTTAGCACCAACAGCTGCACCTGCCCGGGACACCCACCTGTCGATGTCCTGCTGAAACGCAGCCAGCTGGGCCTTGAGCTTGGCCTCTGCCTGCTGCAGCGTCTGGACCTGAAGGTCTTTGGAGATCATCTCCTTGGACAGCTGAGCGATCTGGGCGTCCCAGGCAGATTTTAGGGCTGATGCGTCTTCACGGAGCCTACACAGAAAGGAAACTGCCAATGGGGACGTGGTTCTCGCTCACTCAGGCTCTCTCTCACACAGCTCCCCCCAAAAAAACATGCGTGTGGACACACACACACACACACACACATGCACGCACACGCCCAGTCCTCCCAGGAAATGCCACGTCAGAGCTGAAACTTCCTTGCTACATTAAGGAGATGGTGCTACCCGAGAAGAAACAGCCACTCCTTCCCCCCCTCCACCCGCCTACCCATCCATTCAATCATGCATCCTACCAACCCAGACATCCACAAACACCTATGGCATGCCAGGTGACAGGCCAGGAACTCAGGGTGCAAAGGTGAGCCATGGTGTGCCTGCCACGCCTCACGGAGCGCCCAGTCTTGAGGCAACGCCCCCTCTGACCAACCCGTCTTCACACCTTTGCCATGCCGAGCATGGCACCTCATACGCGAAGACATTCAACATGTACTTGTCAAACTGAACAGTAGGATAAGGTTCTGGAGAAACCATTAAATAACCTTAACAGTAAAACGCCTCTGGTAGAATTCCCCCAAATTGTATATATTTCCCAAGAAAAACATTTACAGAAGACACCGAGACACGCTGACCAGGCAGCCGCGGCGCTGCGCCCAGCCAGATGACACCTGCCCGCGCTCGGTGGCGGCCTTGTGGCGCGTGGCAGCCTCAACGGCTCCGGCGAGCTCGCAGGACAGTGAGGACAACGTCACACAGAACGTTGTGTGACGGACTCTCAGAGCAGAGGGTGAGCTCACTGCTGCCCACAGAGGCCACCCTGTCACGAGGGTCCGCCGAACCTGGCGTGGCTGTGTGTCAAGCCTGGTCTCTCACAGGAGGGAAGGAAGGCCTCCGTGCCCACTTCTTTGCACACATGTTTTAGGAGGGCTGAAAAGAGACACTATCGAAGGCTTCAAATTTGCAGTCAAATCCAGCCTGACACAGACATGTGCGTGTTACACAGGCTCCGTCCACGCCATTAACAGTGTTGGCTGTTGAAGAGACACACTTGTCAACAGTCTTTCAGCGCTCTGGGCAGCAGCGTCACCTCCAGACCAAGAGCCACCCAAGAAGGCATTGGCTCCCTGCCAGCGCAGGCCAGGGGTCGTCATGACCCACCCCCGGGGCATGGCTGCCGAGCTCTCGCCCTGGACACAGAAGGACGGCGGCAGCCCGAGGGGGAACGGACTGGTCAGTCGTGCTTTTACCTTCACACACCCTGCAGGTGTTCCCTGTGCTTTCAAACGCCAACCCAGCACAAAACTGCTAAAGCGCTAAAAGCTACTAGGAACTGCGAGGTCGTCCTTTAACGTGAACTCGCACTCGGGTCAGCGAGGTGGGAATGACACCTGAAACCCCTGGACATAGAGGAGGAAAGAAGTGACCTTCTGAGTCTCTAAATCTATTTTCTATTACCAAAATAATGCCCTGTATGTTTGACAATCCTCAGGGCCAAGGGAAAAAAAAAAATTATACATATCATAGGCCAGGCACGGTGGCTCACACCTGTAATCCTAGCACTCTGGGAGGCCAAGGCGGGTGGATGCTTTTGAGCTCAGAAGTTCGAAACCAGCCTGAGCAAGAGTGAGACCCCTTCTCTACTAAAAAAATAGAAAGAAATTAGCTGGACAACTAAAAAAAAAAAATATATAACTACTATATATATATATATAATATATACAAATTAGCCGGCATAGGTGGCGCATGCCTGTAGTCCCAGCTACTTGGGAGGCTGAGGCAGAAGGATCCGCTTGAGCCCGGGAGTCTGAGGTTGCTGTGAGCTAGGCTGACGCCACGGTACTCTAGCCCAGGCAACAGAGTGAGACTGTCTCAAAAAATAAAAAAATAAAAAAATATATATATACATATGTTTATAGAAAGAAAACTAAAGGACATCGAAAACAGCATTTAGTGTAAGACTCCAGGGGAGACTGAGGCCCGGCAGGAAGGATCGGCGAGCTGCTGTCACTTTAGCTGCGCTGACATCGGAGCAGAGAAGCGCGAGGGTCTCTACGGCCTCCCGGGACATCCACGGCACGGGCTGCTGGGCGCTCACACACGCACCGTGCTCAGCTGCCTTCACTTCCCAACTACTGCTGCTCAATCTGGTCGTTCAAACAAGCTAAATCTACGGCCGGGCGCGGTGGCTCACGACTGTAATCCTAACACTCTGGGAGGCCGAGGCGGGCGGGATCGCTCAAGGTCAGGAGTTCAAAACCAGCCTGAGCAAGAGCGAGACTCCATCTCTACTATAAATAGAAAGAAATTAATTGGCCAACTAATATATATAGAAAAAATTAGCCGGGCATGGTGGCGCATGCCTGTAGTCCCAGCTACTCGGGAGGCTGAGGCAGGAGGATAGCTTGACCCAGGAGTTTGAGTTGCTGTGAGCTAGGCTGACGCCACAGCACTCACCTCTAGCCTGGGCAACAAAGCGAGACTCTGTCTCAAAAAATAATAATAATAATAAATCTAAGGACACCACCTGGAATAAGCCTTTCATCTCCTGGTATCTTCTAGTTCTCAGAGTCATTTCCTCCCAAATAGAAATATGATTTAGCAGAGAATTCTCTAAAAAATAGGGACAGCTATTTCCCTAAGGGACACAGCCAGTCGCTAAGCAAGGAAAACACCAGCCAATGACTTGTGTCTTCAGTAAGTGCAACTTCCCCAAGACCCCACCCCCTTACGGGGAGTCCAGGGACAGTTTCATGCGAACCATTCCACTGCCGTTACGATGGCCAGACTTGCGTGCATCTCTCACCCAACGCCAGGCACAAGTGGAACACAGGTGCTTTTGTGGCCTGGCCTGCCTTAGATGCCAGAAAGGAAACCGGGTTTAAAAAGACATTAGTTGATCTTCAGGTTGTACATGGTGAGCAAAAAAGAAAAAGTAAAATAAATAATTAAAAAAAAATTTTTTTTAATTAAAATAAAAAAGAGAGATGAGTTGATGGGGTAATTGGAACCCC